AGCAGGGGGAGTGGGAGAGGGAGAAGCAGGCTTCCCGTGGAGCAGGGAGCCTGATGCGGGGCTTGATCCCAGGACCCTGGGATCATGACCTGAGCCGAAGGCAGACGCTTAACAAATGAGCCACCTAGGCGCCCCTCAAATAATGATTAAATATTTAAATGTCTTAGAGCTGCCTTCAATAGCAGCTGTTTGAGTTAGTGAAGAGGGTGCATAGACTTTTGTAGATTCCAGTTCTCCCCTTTCCTGTGGCATTATGTGGAATAACTGGAAATAGAGCTGGGAGGGGGCATATTTTAAAACATCACAGCTGTCTCTCAGAGTTAACTTTATTTGCTGCAGAAGAAAAAATATCTTATTAGGGGAAAGAATGGCCGTGCCTAAAGAAAGAAAAGCTCAGAATTTTAGAGGATAGAAGACCTTTGGAAACTAATCATGTAAAATTTGTGAAAGAAAGCATTACAGAGTTTAAAATTATGATCAATTGTATGTTAGAGGTTTTCCTGTACCCATCACATGTCTACAGAGTATTAATTGCATTGGTTGAGAGTGTTTCTGAATGGCTGAGTCTGGATTTAGGCTTGAATTGAGTGCTTTTGAGAGACTTTAATTTGTTTTCTACCAGTCACTCATTTAAGCATTTGCCTTTAGTCTTTAGAGCACTCAGAGATGGAGTAGAGAACATTTATACTAATCAAATATTCCTTCCTTTATGTCTCCTCCATTTGATTCATGGCAGGATATCTTTTTTAGTTGAAAGAAGCTATAAATAAGTATGAAATTATTCTGTTGCAGAATATGGCTCAAGCCTGGAAGATGACGTGGTGGGGGATACATCAGGGTTCTACCAGAGGATGTTGGTGGTTCTCCTTCAGGTATTGGGTGGAGACTATTTAGAGTTTGATTAAAAAATCTGAAGCTGGACTTGTCTGAATCTAGTTAAGTAAGGTCATTTAAAATTCTTTAATCATTTCTCATACTTGCCTGATTGTGGTTGCATATTGCCTGTGTTTGTTTGTTTTTCAGAATATCTGACCTAAACTCTTAATAGCTAGCTAACTTACGGTTTTGTTTTTTTTTTGCTTTTTTTTATTTAAGATATCACTATTCTCTTTCATTCATTGGATTTAAAATCAAAAGGGTCAGATTGGTTTTGGACAGTGCTGTGTAATGATGTGAAATACTGTAGAATTGCTATCTTAAAATCGTATTATTCCTAAGAGAAAGAGCTTTATGTGCACAACCATCAGGTGGAACTAATTTTCCTTTTGAATAAAAATGCTCATGTCATTCAATAATGTGACATTATTTCTTTTCTTTTTTTTTTTTTTTTTGTGACATTATTTCTTGTAGGCTAATAGAGACCCTGATGCTGGAATTGATGAAGCACAAGTTGAACAAGATGCTCAGGTGAGATGTGATATGTGGTGACTTTATTATGACATATGAATGAAAAAAAGAATCCATGATAATGGAAAATCATAATATAGATTGTGATAGCATCTAAAAATAATGTTATTTATGGGCCCTTTACAAATCATAAGACTCAAGTATATTTTTCTCATTTTGATCTGGCCAGCTAAATGTTTTGTCCCAAAAGGGAAATGAAATAAAATGAGTTACATATAAATAGTGAATTTTGCCTAGATATATATATTTTTTTGGTGATTATGGAACTTCACAAAATGGGTAATTTTACCAAAAAATATAGGTATTACTGATTCCACTGCTAGTGAGGCAGTAGGTGTCTTGGCAGGAGAGGATAAAGAAAAAAGAATGAGGTATTTTAGTGATAAATGGTGTTTTAATACATAGTAGATTATCAGTTACTGTAGTATTTGGGAATTCCTCCACCTTTCTTTCGATAGAATTCTAAATAGGATTGTTCTCTTGTCAGCTGCTTTTGAGTGACTTCCAAATGAAATTCTGTACTTAAGTGGCTTTTAAATCCTAGTATAGTCTCACTATTGTTAGCAAGTAATCAAATCTTAACTATAGAGAACAAACTGATGGTTACCAGAGGGAAGGTGGGCAGGGGAGTAGGTGAAATAAGTGATGGGGATTAAAGAATACACTTATGATGAGCACGGAGTAATGTATAGAATTGTTGAATCACTGTATTGTACGCCTGAAACTAATATAACATTGTATGTTAACTATACTGGAATTAAAATATGTTTAAAAAACTTAAAAACATAAGTAGTCAAATGTGGGAAATATTAGGAAATTTGAAACATGAGACTTGAAAACTGGAAATTGGTAATAAAGGAATTATTTGCATTCATAGAATCACATACCATAGTCCTGTTTCTCTGGTCACATGTTTCAAGTAATAATTCTTTTTTTTTTTAAATATTTAAAAAAGATTTTATTTATTTATTCATGAGAGACAGGCAGAGGCAGAAGCAGGACTCTGGGATCACACCTGAGCTAAAGGCAGATGCTTAACCGACTGAGCCACCCAGGCGCCCCAAGTAATATATAATTCTGATTGTTAGTCATACACCATTGAAAAAGGAAGAGCCATCTTCACTCCTCCAGTTGACTCTTCTCTATGAAACAACAATTGGATGTGTAATCTGAATTTGCTAATGGGAAAGAGAGAGCATTATTATTCTTTTGGGTGGGTAGATTTTATAATGGTTTCAGAATGCTGTCATCTCTTTGCCTTGCTGGAGACAGAAGGAAAGCAAATGGACATGTACTGGGGACTGTCTATGCAGTATTTGATGCTTCCCTCACTATTCTCCATAAAATGCAAACCTCTTGTGTCACGTCCCTATATAAAACCTTAAAACTTCAGTGGATACCATTATCCTCAGAATAAAGTTCAAGCCCCTAAATGTGATTTATAAGCCTCTTTGTTATCTGCGCCTTGCTTGCTTTTACCTCCAGCCTCTCTTGCTCTGTCTCCACCTGACCCTTCCTCCACCCATTCACCGGACTACTTCCTCTTCAGGAGTCAGTCCTCAGGTTAGTTGTTTATCAGGTATCCCTGCCTGACTCTCCCCGCCCCCGGCCCCGCCCCCAAGTGTATGTCAGGTGCCCCTTACAGGGGCAGTCCAGCTGCCTTATATTGAAGCTGTCTATTTACTTGACTGCTTGCCCAGGGCACTCGGAGCTGTCCGTTCAGTTTGTATCCTTTGGATCTAGCATACAGTAGGCACTCGGTATATAACTGGTGAATGGGTTAGTGTATACCTCTGAAGTCCAGGGGAATAATTTCTCTTTTATAGATAGAGAAACTGAGGCTCAGGGATTTGAGAATCAAACCCATGGCCACCACTGACCGGTAGTGGAGCTGGGATTCATACCGGGGCCTGTCTAACCCCAAAGCCCTTTCTCTTTCAACTAGACAATGGTCTGTGTTCTTGCCTGCTAGTTCCTCTCCCCTCAGCACCTACACCATATAAAAGGCTTATTAAATGTAGATTGGAAGCACAAATCCAGCTTAACTCTGCCTTCTTGGAGGAAGGAATTTGTGTCCTTGAGGAGAAAGTGCTAGATCAGGCCTTCAAAACTGTACTCCCAACTGTTGGAGACAACGTATTGCTTTCCAAGCATTAATTATTTGTGGGCTTCATAGGAAATGGTGTGATTCTCACCCTCGGACTCTCAAGAGTAGTCTAGATGTTTTTTGGTGGTCACGGTGGAAGAAGCCAACTCTAGTAGTCTCAGATGACCGCAGTGAGGCCTACATTGGTGGGCAGTGGGCTCATTTCCCAGCACAGTTGGTGATGCAATGAGAGGATTGCTGCAGTGTGAGGCCAGGGAGTGGAAACAGTGCATCTTCCCCTCATTTTCATTGATTTCTCTCCTCAGAGCACTCAGTGTATAGCAGTGCTTCTCGGACTTTCAAGTGCTTGTGAATCACCTGGGGATCTCCTTAAACTGCAGGTTCTGACTCAGTGGGTCCGGGTGGGGCCTGGGATTCTGTATTTCTAACAAGCTCTCAGGTGATGCCTCTGGGGTCTTGGGACCACACTTTGAATACCGGGGCTGTAGGGTGCCACCTACCTGTTGTGCAGAGCATATGCCCATTCAGGACCGTGAAGGGGAACCTTTAGACATCTGAAGACTGTCTTATGAAGTTACTTTAAAATATCCCTTGAATAGCGGGGCATGTGGGTGGCTCAGTCAGTGAAGCATCTGCTTGGCTCAGGTCATGACCTCAGGGTCTCAGGGAGCCTGCTTCTCCCTCTTCCTCTGCCCCTTCCCCTGGCTCGTGTGCTCTCTCTCTCTCTCTCAGCTCTCTCAAATAAATAAATAAAATCTTTTAAAAAAAATCCCTTGAATAGAATTCAGGTTTTCTTTACCCTTTCGGTGATCAGGAACAACAAAGAACATGCTACACTGGCTATTAGTCTTTGATTCTTTAAAATGTATTATTGGGGCACCTGGGTGGCCCAGTTGATTGAGCATCCAACTCTTGATTTCTGCTCAGGTCTTGATCTCAGAGTCCTGAGATGGGCCGCCTCAGAGCCTGGGGCTCTGTGCTCAGTGGGGAGCCTGTTTCTCTCCTTTTCCCTCCCGGCCTGCCTCTCCCCCCACCTTCACACTCACATGCGTGCCCGCGCGTACTCTCTCTCAAATAAATAAATAAATCTTTGAAAAAAATGTATTATTACTAATGAATTCAGCTTGTTAAAAATAATTTTCCTTTTGGTGTTAGGAAAAAGAACACACCCATTTCTTTCTTGTAGCAAGGGCAGCTGGACTGTTGTCACTAATGGGAATTTAAGTTTTCTTAACCGAGAGTAAGCTGAGACAAACAAAGGGCCCTTATATAAGCTTTTGAATTTTTTTCTCTGCTGATACCTGGCACTAAGAGGATTCCTTTCATTTCTGGGATTTGATAAGCCACAGTGAGTCATTCACCTGGGAATTCAACATTTTGTATATAATTCACTTTACTTTCTTACATTTTTATTTTTATTCATTTCTTTATAGTGGTTTTGTTTTGTTTTTTTTTTTTTTTTACTTTCTTACATTTTTAATGTATTAAACTGATTTTACCTCCTCCCTCTCTAAAACCTTCTTTCCTGATCTTGGAGATAAACCTGAAGGAGGGGGAAGAAAGGGGAAGGGTTGGGAATCAATGTTTACTGAGTACCTGCTATTGATTACCTGACACTCTTTGATGCATTAGTTATATAAGTTGCATAATCTCCATTAATGACTCTGTAGAAATATTAATCCTATTCTAGGTGAAGACACGGAGACTCAAGAGATTAACTCATCTAAGATCTCACAGATAAGGATGAGGCCCAGGTCTTTTTGACTCCAAAACCTCTGCACTTTGCACTGAACCAGAGGTTATCAAACTGTGTTCAACTGTAAAGCCCCCTCTGAGGGAAGAGGGGAGGGTGAGGAGGTGTGAGGGGCCCTCATCCAGAGCTGCTCCGTGGATGTTCATCATCCTCATTTAGAAGAAAGCACTCTTACATTAAAACAAGACAAAACAAAACTTTTAAATATTCCACATGAAGATTATCGTTACTGCATATGATTTACTTAATAGTTTTAGAGTAAATATTGATCTCAAACATAATCCTTTTGAGAAAATGAAGAGTTATAGTTTAAAATAGCCATTTCACAAATTATTCCATATGACAGGCTTAACTGCTGTACCTACTAGAGAAGATTTCTAGAAATATGGAATAGTTGTTAAGAAAGGAGGGCTTCAGGAATGCTTGTAAGTATAGTAGGGGATGCACCCTCTCTCTCTTGTAGGTGTTAATGTGTGTGTATATCTTATCTATGTGTAGAAAACATATTAGAGGTAGTAACCAATATCTTTGGGATATTGGCCTTCATGGTAATTTTTTTCTTATTCATGTTTTATCTCGTACAAAATTTTTCAGTGAACACATGTTATTTTTGTTATTAGACTTAAAAAGTTACTTTAAGACGGGTCTGTAATACCATGATATAGTTCTAAACTTGAGATACTTGCATGCCTTTCATAGTAAGTCTCTTCTCAGTTTTGAAGAACATGCTCACATAACCAGGATTGATATTATTTATTTTTATCGTTAAATTAATTTCAAAACTGAGTGTAAAGATGTGATACATTTTTCAAAATTCCCTGGAAATACAACAAAAAACGGATATATATCACCGAAATCTACATTCTTAAACACACTATGATCAAAATTTCTACATCCAAACACGTGCTATGATCACACCACCTTCTGTCCTTACTTGGTTTGCCACTTGTGAGCAGAAAGGCCGCTCCGAGTAGCAGGCTCAGCAGACTGCATTTGTCTTGGTTTAATAGGTGTACTTAACTAGAAATGAACAAAAGGGTAGTGTAGACATTTTAAAGGTTGATTCACTGGGTTTTAATAAATTATCCACATCTCAATAAGTGGACTCAGGTTTAATGATGGTGTTTGTATATAATTTTATTTTTTCAGCAATTATATGAACACTAAAAAGCATATATTTTCCATGTAAAAAAAGTAAATATAGACACTCAAACTATTCAAGAAGTATATATTAGTTGCCTACTACATGCCAGGCTTTGTGCTATACCCACGACCTTTTAAAAATTCATTATGATCTTTTAGAAATGTGAAAACTCTTTGTAGCTAGTTTTGGTTAAACTGTAGTTGAAAAGAGAAAATATGGAGTTTATTTTTTATCATGTGTTGCTGAACAACTGCCGAGTAAACAAAACACAAAACATAGTTAAGCTCCTTTTCCAGTCTGTAAGTGGATGTGTCAACAGTGAGGTAATCAGAAATTTCTACCAATCACACCATTGCCCCCGAAAGCCTGGAAGTCCCATAGACATTTTGGGAACATTTAATCTTGCCCTGTTGCTGTGATTTATTGCTTTGACTCATTAATCTTCTGTGGCACAGTTCAGTGGCAAGCTCCAGATAGCTGCGAACTCACCTCACAGAGTTTAGGCAACATTAGAATTGAAAAGTAGAAAATGATGAATCAGGCTAATTAATATACAGGGAGTGAAACACCAGTGTCTTTCAGAACCTGGACATGAGATGGAGAAACGGCTTACTAATTGAGGTTGAAATTTTCACAGGCTTTGTTCCAGGCTGGAGAACTGAAATGGGGGACAGATGAAGAAAAGTTTATCACCATCTTTGGGACACGAAGTGTGTCTCATTTGAGAAGGGGTGAGTGAAAAGAATGTGTATGGTATAGTACTTCGGTTAATTTTGTAAGTACAGAAGCCAGTATGCCAAAATATGTGCTTTATAATAGGCGCTTCCTGAGTGAATCGGTTTTTGTATTTCTTCCTATTGGTAACCTTGAAAAATCTTATCATTCTCTTTGCTGCTGTTGTAGTTTTACAGAACTAGAGATCCTTAGTCCCCGCCTTTGCTGTCAGGGTGACGAGGGAGCTAGGCCTCTGGATTGTTAACTCTCATAGTCACTAATCACTGAGCTGTGGCTCACTTCAAGCATTTCATCCTAAATGGTGGCACCCACGATCTCTTCGCGAGGCATTCATCAGTTCTTGTGGTATCAGGTGGGAATGAGTTCAAGTGACAGGAAACCCTACTAATTGGGGCCTTAAACACGTGGCTGATTCGGCAGGACCTGGGTGGGCTATCTCTGTTTTTCTGCTTCACTGTCCTTGGTGTTTTGGGGTTTTCTTTCTCATGCCCTGTACCTGATTGTCACAGGAGGGCTACTGTAGCTCCAAATTTATCAACATTAGCAGCAAGAAGAAAAGAAAGGGGTAAACTAATCATATCTGTTTATCGTTCTTGATAAGGAAAGATTACTCAGAATCCTCTCTAGTAGATTTACCTTTGGGTTACATTGGTTGTAACGAGTAAGTAGAGGCTGGGAACTCAGTGAACAAAGAGCCTTTATAATCCATTACTTAGGGCTTGGGTATATTGAAGCTCTGTGACAAAGTCAGGGTTCTGTCAGCAAGGAAAAAGGGGAGATTTGTATTCAGTGGGACAATACCTGGTTAGAGTTAGTATCTTCTTTCTGTACAGAATAATCCTTACATGATTGAGAAATCATTTTCCTTTTTTATAGTGTTTGATAAGTACATGACTATATCAGGATTTCAGATTGAAGAAACCATTGACCGAGAGACTTCTGGTAATTTGGAGCAACTCCTCCTTGCTGTTGGTAGGTGGTGTTACAATGTATATAATATTAATGGTGTTAAGAGCTAAAGTGTTTCATTCAGTTGAAGCTGTATCTGAAAATAACCACTTCTTTATGATATCTGAGCGAAGCAAACTCCCACATTTCCAATTCAAAGTCTGTTTTGATATTGGAAATACATGATTATCTGGTTAGTTCGTGTAATCCTATGGAAATACTAAAGCAACTATTTATAAAAATCATTTTGAAGCTTTATTAAAAATATTATTATTTTGTTATGAATCTGAAGTGTGGGCATTATCTCAGAGGCTTGTAAATATTGTTTCTGATACTGGGTGGAATTGTAGTATCCTTTTGAATACTGTCCTCACAGCTTTGAGGCAGACTGAGAAATTGGCATCTGAGCTAGAAAAAGTATCTTTTGTATGATGGAAGATGTGATGATGGTTGTTTTCAGATTACTTTGGAAATTTATTTTAGCTAAATATTCAGAATGATCTGGAAAAATTGGAGAACTGAGTTTGTGCAGTTGATGGTAGTATTATATACTGTCCAAATCCAGGGAGAATCTAGTCTGTGAGTTCCCAGGGACCCTAGTTTTCATATGGGTTTGGAGTGAACCTCTGTTTGTTCTGAGTATTTGGCATTGAGCTCGAGTTTTTGTGCTGTCTTCTGGAGAATAAGCTAAAGTTGTGCATGAACCGGCACTAATAGTAGTCTTTGATTTGAGTTCCACACTTAATGAATTTTAATAGAAAACTTTCGCACAACCCCTTCATAATTAGAATACACTTAAAATAATGGCATTTTTAGTTACTGTTTGAGTTTTGTTTAAGCACTGGAAGAGAGATTAACTCCACCCCCCAATTAATGAATTGTTATTTCTCTATATTAAGGAATTTTTATAGGGATAGTTTCTGAAGCTGAGCTGACTGAGGTCTGAGCAGCCCTAACACAGAGTAGATACATACATACATGTTCAGGGAAGATACTCTTTTCTGTTACCAGTTTATCTGGGTGTCTCTCCTGAATTGCATAAGTCTCATGCTGCTCTATGTGAATCATGGATAGTAAGGAATCTGGAGAGAATACCTAGGGTAAGATTACAGAAAGATAGTCCCAAGATTTGTCAAAGATTAGATGGAGTGGGTACCTTGTGTTATTTGCTTGAATATGTTGGATCAAAAACTTTCAGGATGTTTGTATCCTTTCCTGAAGGTGAAGAAGGTTGTGGTGTAACAGCCCAGACTGCCCAAACTGATAGCAGAAAGGTGCTCAGAACAGAGGGGTGTTGAAAACCTCACACGCCCTGTCCTACACGACTTTCTCTGCAGAACTCGGAACTTTAAGGAAATTCTATCCAGTTTTTAAGAAAATACTTGGTGAATGTGGAGATCAGATCAGCCTGCAAATGAGCAGTTTTTTAGCGTAGGTTACTTTTATGCTTGTAAATAAGTAGAGCAATAAGCATGAAGCAAGTTTTGATTTTTAATCACTATTTCTTTTCCTATCAATATAGCATCTGACCATATTATTTATTTTCTTAGTGAAATCTATTCGAAGTATACCTGCCTACCTTGCAGAAACCCTCTACTATGCTATGAAGGTAAGTGCATATCTTGAATCTTCCATCTAATTAATTTATCTTTCTAGCTATCTTTCCCTGTGTATTATTATGATTTAAATGATAGACTTTGGGTTTGTTTTTTTTTTTTAATTCTCCTTAAAACATGCAGTTCAATTCTACCAAATTGTTTTACTTTCTCAATTCATCTTAACTCAGGGAAGTTTGATGCTGTGTTTGACATTTTGAAAGTGTGCCTCCCTTTTTTTCTTTCTTACAGGGAGCGGGGACGGATGATCATACCCTCATCAGAGTCGTGGTGTCCAGGAGCGAGATTGATTTGTTTAACATTAGGAAGGAGTTCAGGAAGAATTTCGC